GAATTCCACCATTGGAGAGGGTTTTGTTTCATTTCTATCTCTAGGATAGGGTGCACTGATAACAGATACAGACTATAGTTTGAGAGCATGGGTCATGGATATCTGAGAAGTTCAGCAGTAAGTCAGTTATCAAAGATCTGCTATCAAGCCATGTGTAATTTATGGGCCCAGAGAGTGAGGGGGAGTTGGGTTGAGACAAGCACAGAAAATAACAGGACAATTAACATCAGTGAGAGAGAGTGATGCTGTATCATTTTTTTTAATTTATTTTATTTATGCATACAAGAACTGGAGTGGAGATGTGTGGGGGGTAAGAGGATTCACCAGAGATAGAATAGGAAGCAGAACAGACAGATTGAACCACTGAAATACACTGCTGAGGGGAGCAGCAGAGAACAACAGAGTTTAGCTCCCTGACCTGGGATTGAATTCATGTCACAGTGGCAGTAGTTTGATAGTGCTGAGGCTTTAACGTTTGCATCACCAGGGAGGCTGTATACTCTATAATAATTTTTGATTCAAATGATGATAGAGAATTGATTGGTTTATTGATGAAGCATATTCAATTGCTAATACTTAAGGCCTTTAGTCAGTCTTGTGAGGCCCTGTTGGAAAACCCAGGCCCACTTGGCTCTGTCAAATAAGTCAACACTGTGTTACTGGAAGTTCATATGATAAAGTGTTGGTGTTCTTTTGGAATCAGTGTTAGGTTTACATCAGTTACTTCTCATACTGTATGATCCATAAATTGCCAGGTTTATAGATATTTATAGATGATATAAATACCATGAGCCAGAACATATGCATTAACTTAAGGGAAAAGTGCAAATCTTTATCTACTTGTATGTTTCCTACAAAAGGGTAAAGATGGATATTCTAACAAGATGTATATTATAAGAAAACAATGGAATTTGCTTTGTTTGGAAAGAGTCTAATTGGAGTAAGTCCTCAATGAGAAAGCTGATTTCATTTTTTTATTTTTTCTGGTGAGATAAAGAAGGTACAGTTGCTAGGGTTATTAATACCCTTTTTAGTGATTGACAATATAAAGTCAGTTATGCTATTCAAAAAAATAGACTAGTCAGAGAGGGCAATGATGCTCAACAGTTATGTGAAGAGCATTTTTTAAAATAATTTTATCTTTGACATGAGCAAACTTACTGAATTCCAGTATTTGGTATGTGTAGTTTGTATCACATTAGAAGAAGCACATCACAAGTTTTAAATGGAACTGTTCAATAAAACTTAGTAAAGTTATCTTAAACCGTGTCTATAATGTTAGCTGACAGATCGATCGTTAGCTTCCAGCACAGACTTTGGTTTCTCTGGGCAGATACACTGATCTCTGCGCTCTTCTCTATTTACAAGAGGAACGTGAGAGTTGTGGGCAAAGGGAGGCCAGGGCTTGAGGTTTTGCAAATCAAGACTAAAAGACTGCTTTTTTAGGTCTAAGTTTCTCATCTCAAAGTCCTTTGTTACTATTTCCCTCTTCATCTATCCTTTCTGATACTATCAGCCAGGATAAATATCTCTTCATCACTGAATTTCTATAGTGTTCATTCAGTAGCTTTCTGTGACAATTATAATCTTAACATGTTCTTTTTCGTTTTCTGCATAAAGTGTGAACTGGGAGTCTAGGACTTCTGTAGCTACTGGTAGTCCGCAGTAGTGTTTGCTGTGCACTAGGTAAAGAAAAAAATTTAAAAGTTAGTGAAGTAGTTATGGACCATCCGAATCAATATTGTAAGAGTTTATGTCTTATTCCCATTTCAAAAATTTAACACATTCCTGTAAGAATTAGGTCTGAGATGGTCTTTCCCCATGGCTTGTGTGTGAAAAGTCATACAGCCTCTTCAAGATCCATTGAATAGTAGACACTTAGATACAGAAGATTCTCCAAGAGATATGGTTCTTTCTTTCTTTTAGGTTAATTGCCACTTTGAGCACCTTCAGTCAGCTGTGACATTCAAGCAGTTCCCCAGGAAAATAATACATCTCTACCAAATTTTGCCTACAACTTGCAGCAGATTTATAGATTTCTGAAAGTTCAGCTTCAGAATTCTTTAACCAAGAATATTCCGAATGTGGAAATAGTAGTCATAATGTAGTGAATAGGAGGAAAATTAACATTTTGCTCTAAATATTTCACAATCATTTGATTGAGTAGCAAAAGTCTCTGTGCCATAGAGGCATTACAGAAACTAGAGATGCATTTGGATATCTGTTACAGATAGGACTTAATGAACCTTTGTAAAAGGTTTGAGGAATATTCTGTGCTAGGAAAGGATATCTGTGAGGTAAATTACCCAGTGTCAGTTCATGTTGAAATCAGAAATTTAAAGTCAAGGAAAATGAAGTTAAGATATTTTTTTCCATGAACTGAGGACTTGCCTTTAACCTGCCACAAACTCCAGAGTCCACATAGCCTCATCTTCTTTCTCTCAGAGCCCAAGTCCAGCACTACACACAGTTGTGTCACCAATATCTGACAGTCTGATATTCACACCTATAAACCATCCATTGAGGCTTTTCTTCCTTTTCTCTACTTTTGAAAATTTTTTCATATATTTATTACATATGCTTCACATCTGTTTTTTTTTTTAATTGGGGTGGGGTAGGGGAATCCTCTTGATAGTTCAGAAAATAAAAAAATGTATACCATTACAGTATGTGTAACGGTGTGGCAAAAATACAACTCAAAGGAAGAGTCCTGGCCAAGAACCTGTCTCAACTCTGTGTTTTTAGGGTTCACTCTGAATGACTTGTGATTGGATTGTGTATGATCTGTGGAGAAAGAAGGGTCAAAGATCACATCACCACTGTGGGCTTGAACAACTGGCAAATAGGTCTGCCATTCACGTGACTTGGAAGTACCCATGGATGATGTCACTGGGTTGGAGAGCTGGAAGCTAAGGTTCCATTTTGAGTCTGTTACATGCAATATGCCATTTTCCTACTCAGGTTGATGTGGTTAAGTAGACAGGTGGAGACTGAGTCTGGAGTTCTAGTGAGTGGTTAGATCTACAAATATATTTGTGAGTTATCAGAAAGTCAATATGTTTATGACCATGGACTTGCGGAAACAGGCAGTGATGTTGGTAGATTGAGAAGAGGGTTTAAGTCTATTGTTCATAAATGTTAACCATTCACTGGAGCACAAGTTCAGTTTCATGATGGAAATGAAAAAAGAATCAGTTTGTCTCACTAAAAGTTATTTTCACACATTGTGTGACCTGAGGTACATCATTAAAACAAGCTGTGATTGGCCAGGGGGAGGTAAACCTGGTTATAAAATGGCTACATGTGGCATGAGAACTGTTCTGTGTCTTGACTGGCGGTTGAGATACAAACCTACATAGAGGTTTCTCACTGGAACTTTGTAAACACTCAAGGGGTAACACACAGAACTGAGTTGTCCTAAGAGGAGTTACTCAAACTCAGTGTTCTAGTTGTGATATGATACCAGTTTTGTAAGCTGTATACAATAGGTATTTCTATTACTTCTTACAACAGCATGTGAAACCGAAGTTCTCTCAACTGAAATGTCCAACTTCAGGGAAAATCTTCATTTAAATCAAATTATGTAACTTTCATTAATGTTAACAACAAAGGTAATATATTCCAGATGTATATGAAAACAAAACATGGAACTTCAGTCGGAGCTCCTTATATGTAAAAAGAGCCAGTTGATTAAACTCTTTCAACTCAGTTTAGCACCCCATAGAACAGAGACCATAAATGTTTATGCATGGTCTTTATTTAGCTTTTCCACTGTTAGTGTGGGCACGTTTGGAAGTATGCCTTTCTAGGCTCACAAAATGATGCCAGACATCACCAAAGCTGGACACCTTTTAGTCTGAAAGCTTAGCTTCAAGGTTCATTAAAAATCAGTGTAAGGCCCTCCTTAGTGGTGCAGCGGGTTAAAGCACAACACTAAGAAGCTAAAGCCACTTCAGCATGAGTTTGATCCCTGCCCCAGAGGTGACCCCTATGGTGCAGCAGACCTCTCCTGACCTGCCCTCTGTACCCTTCAGTGTACTTCATCAGTCTGCCTGTTCTGCTCCCCACTCTGTCTCTGGTGAATCCTCTCACCACCCCTGCACCTCTGACCTGTACCCCAATTCTGTATGCATAAATAAATCTTAAAAAAAAAAATCAGTGTGGAAGAGGAATGAGCTCCTTTGTCGACATTTTTTTTTTCAAACAAAGCTGTTAAGCTATTAATATACTTGAAAACTGTCTCTTACAAAGAAAACATTTGGAAAACCCAAAAGTGATTCAAATACTTCCACTTAAAAATAAATGAAAGCTATTAATCTGGAGATATAAATATTTAAGGAACTTAAACAAGGGTTTTTGAAAGTTAATGTGGTTGCCAGTCTGAAAAGAGTGGAAAGACTTCTTGGCAATATGAGCCTGTTGGTACGAAAATAACAAACATATGCAATAGGACTTCAGTGTCAGAACACTGTCAATCAAGTCAGGCTTTTATAGATTAGGACTACTACAAACTTCCTATGAAAACAAAAGCCATCCTTTTTTAAAAGAAGAAAACCAAAACATTGCTCAGGATATAGTCATCCAGAACTGCATTCTGGGAATTTGAAATAACAGATTTATCTATGTAGAACTACTTACGACTGACCTCCATAAAGAAAAAAGACCAGATTGAATGAACTTAGTGACTAGTTAGCATCAGCCTCAAGAAAGCAAGAGCATCTTGATTTGCAACTGTGGAAGGTGCAATAAAGAAGTATACAGTTTTTATGTAAACTGAACTTTTTAGCCTTAGATTTTCTAACTTATTTTTGTAAACAAAAATGCCTAACAGGTTTCATTGGGCTGCCAATCTGATTAAACAACCTTCTGTTTCTCTTCTCAATAAGTAGCTGAGAAAATTAAAAAAAAAAAAAACCTTGAGTCATTTAATCTTCCCTTTAATCTGCACTTCACTGTCATTAAGTAATCACAATATGTGCAATTTCTGTTTTATTTTTAAGCTGGATAATGCAGACGAACAAGCAGCTCAGATCAGAAGGGAACTTGATGGCCGTTTGCAGTTGGCAGAGAAAATGGCAAAGGTAAATTATTAAATTCAATGTATTTGTTCCGTTTATTTCTTATGGAAGGTGATCGTTTGCTATTGAAAAAAAAAAATAAAGCAGAGAACCTGAAGTCAGGAGCAGGAATGGTGGTGGTTAGGGTGGGCCAGGTCTTAGTAGTATTTTTCCAGTTCTCAGTCCAGAAAACGTAAATAATCTTGACTTTTTTCTTTTTCCATACCTCTTGCCAAATTCACCAGGACATCTATTTGTAACTCTCTTCAAAGAGTTTTCAGAATCTGACAGTTGTACTCACCCTCTTCTTCCACTCTGGTCTGGTTGTCATTGCATCTCATTAGGATAACACTTCTGTCCCTTTGGCTAGCTTCCCTGACCTCTATCTGTGCCCATTGTCACAGTAGCTAGTATTTTACTGACAACCCAGTTTCGGTTCCTCATATTACAATGAGCAAAACAGAAGTTTGTACTGCAGCCTGTAAATCCTGCATAATCTTGTCTTTGCTGCCCCTCTGAACTAGTCCTCTGTTCAGCTTCCCCCTTGCTCAGTCCTCGCCAGCTGCCTGGCTTCCTTGTTCTTCCTGCCATGGGGTCTCTGCCCAAGTTATTCTCCTGGCCATTGATGATTTCCCGCTGATTTTCACATGCTGACTTCCTTTATTCATCAGGGTTCTCTAGAGAAATAGAACCAAAATAGATAGATAATCTCCTACTGAACCTGTGACTCTGAACATAGATCTAAACGTATATTAGATACAACATAGGTATGATTTTATGTGTACACATATGTGTTTGTCTATCCATCTACATATATAGCGGTATGTCTCTGTGTATATATGTTTAGCCAATAAGACAGAGGTGAAATTAGGAGGGGGCAGTAAGTAAATTTATCTGCTCTGTGGGTTCATAGTATTATTACAGAGCAACACTGCAACAAGATTGGAGGGCAAGGGGTGAGGAGAGAGAGAATGGGCAGCATGGAGAAGCATCCAGTGTGAATTGGTATATGTCGCTGACTTTGTCTTCATAGACAGCGGTGTTAGAGCTACTAAGAGCTGTGCTGTACAGAGGGCTGAATTAGAACATTTAAGTCATGTTTTATAGGAGTGATTCACAGCTAAACTGGGGAATAACCCAATTTCTGACTCTGTCCTAATTTAAAACAACAAATTTTACACATACACCTGTCTATGTACAATTTGCTCTGTTTCCAAGAAAGAAGCAGCACAAGCAGGCTCAATAAAGTTGATGAACTACTATCAATACATCACCAAGCAGTAAAACAGCTGCTTTATTTTCTCCCCTGCAGAAAAAAATTCTAGTGTAGCCTGTTGTCTGAAAAGTTTGAAAATGTAGAGAAAACAGTTAATTTTCAGATTCCTGATATCCTCCATGAAAATGATAAGGAATGAAATGTTTTAACTTAATGCTGAATAGAGATTTTTTTTCATAAGCTATGTGGGTCTAACCCCAAGTGGCCATAGGGCCATCATTTTGTTACTTACAGTCCTGCATTCCTACACAAGGTCAGAACTGCCCTTCATTAACCTCTCGGTCAGTCATATGAGCCAAACCTTACTAGGTGCCTTTCAAATCAATCAAGAATAAAAAGCTTGATCACCCTGAGAAGAGTGTGCTTCCCCTGGTATGACCGGGAATGACTAGGGGGCTGATGACGGTTGCATAAATTTACCCCCCGACTCATACATTCTGAGTATGATTGGAACACCCAGGAAGCCGAGGACCAATGTATGACCAGGGACCCCAGAAGCTGATCAGAGAAACAGCTTGTTGATAAAATTGAAACCCTGACTGGAGAATGAGGCCGAACCTTACAGTCCTGAGTCATCAAGCAGATGAGAAAGACCTGGAGGGCAGATTCACACTCCCTCATACTATAGATTATAGATCCGCCCTTCCCCTTTTCCTTTTTCCTACTTCTTCCTACAACTGATGCTGTATGATTATTCTACCAATGAAAAGGCCAGGATCTTGCTCTTTAACAGCGTCCTGCATTATGTAGCCTGCTCCACAGACTGCTGTTTCTTTATCAGTGTGGTGTTGCCCCTTGCAACAAGCTAATGCTGTTTTCCACTAAACAGCACCTTCCTGTTTTATATAAAATAGTAGTGTATCCAAACTTTCCAACATGTACTCTTTTTTTTGCCATTTGTTTTGCTAAAATATAATTTCTAAAAAGACCAAATTATGACTCAGATACAAAATAAATACAGTAAAGATTTCATTCAATGCCTACTTAATGAGCAAGCTAATTAGCTGTGAAAATTAATCCAGAGAGCATTTGAAAGTTGGTTGTTTTTAGGCAAAGTTAAAAATAAGATTCATGGGCCCTCCCTGGTGGTGCAGCGGGTTGAAGCACTGCACTAAGAAACTTCAACCACTACCGCATGAGTTCGATCCCGCCTGCCCAGGAGGAGATCCACATGGCGAGGCAGACCTCTCCTGACCCGTCCACTGCTCCCCTCAGCAGTGTACTTCCTTGATCTGCCTGTTCTGCTCCCCACTCTGTCCTTGGTGAATCTCACCCTCCGCATCTCTGGCCTGTACCCCAGTTATGTATGAATAAATAATTTTTTTAAAAGATTTATTTATTTGTGCATACAGAACTGGGGTATAGGCCAAAGGCTCAGGGGTGGTGAGAGGATTCACCAGAGACAGTGTTGGGAGCAGAACTGGCAGCTGGACGAAGTACACTGCTGAGGGGAGCAGCGGGCGGGTGAGGAAAGGTCTGCCGCGCCATGTGGTCACCTCCGGGGCAGGCGGGAATCGAACTCATGCGGAAGCAGCTTTAGATTCTCAGTACTGTGCTTTAACCCGCTGCGCCACCAGGGAGGGCCAATAAATAAATCTTTAAAAAAAAAAAAAAAGTAAGATTCATGGATTAGATCTAATAGTGGTTAATTTACAGTAAGGATTTAAACTGTAATTCTTGTTGACATTACTGGACACAAGAGATGTACATCATTTGCTTCTTTTCCAGAGAAAATTCTATAAGGTAACGTGTAACTTCATTGTCTGAATTTTTAACCAGTTGAACTAAAGATATTTCCTCAGCTAGTCCTCAAACAGCCTTCAGCCTTAGAGGACCAAAAACTTTATGACTTATTAAATTAATGATGATAGCATTCACAAGCACAAAAATCAACCATATCACAGCAAATAGAAATGGTCACTCATATTTCCATGTGCTGGGTGCCTGTTAATCTTCACAATGACAGATTTAAAAATTCACAGATACAAAAATCTATTTTTATTGTTATGTGCCTATATTGAAAGTATCCCTAAGCATCTTTCCCCCAAAAGGAGACCAAGGTACCCTGTAATTGAGTAGCTACCTGTTTTTCCTGAGGATGCAGACAACTACTGGGATAGGCCCCCTTTACCCAAAAACAGAACATTACTCTTTGGTGTGCTATGGTAGATTGATTTTGGGTTCTGCAAATGCTGTCATCAGTAATTAATTTTTTAAAAAGATGTATTCATTTATGTATACAGAACCAAGGTACAGGCCAGAGGTGCAGGGGTGGTGAGAGGATTCACCAGGGACAGAGTGGGGAGTAAAACAAGCAGATCAACGAGGTACACTGCTGAGGGGAGCAGCGGGCGAGACAGGAGAGGTCTGCCACGCCATATGGGTCACCTCCGTGGTGGGCATCAAACTCTCACTGAAGCAGCCAAGGCCAGCTTGCAGTGCTGTGCCCTAATGCAATGAGCCACCAGGGAGGGCCCTGTCATCATTAATTTAAGTTTTGAAAATTCTAGATGCCAACTATAACCTACTAAATCAGACATTCTCCTTTCCATAATGGGAGAAACTGTATTTTGGAAATTTTCATTAAAACGATAGCAAAATGTTAAAAAAAAAAAAAAGATACCAAAGAATGTTCCTTGGTAAAGTTAATTATGACTGTAGATATGAAATCTTCCTATGATATTAAATTTAATATCAGTTACACGTGAAGAATATTTGAGACATGTGAAGGTTATCGTGGGAGCAGAAGGAAAGCCAGAGCCCTGAGACCCGGCTGATTCAGGAGGTGGCGCCTGGTGTCTTTCTGACGCGGATGTGAGCTGGGAAAAGTTCAGACACTACAGAACAGCAGCGGCAGCATGTTTTAACACTGGAGAAGTGGCTTGCTTTGGTTGTGTTTGAGTATAGCAAAGAAAACAGTGTTCAGGCATCAATCTTTAGTGTATTGGGCAATCGTTGGAAAGATGGTGGCTTGCGGCTTCCATCCCCACCCCTGTGCGTGGTCCTCAATAATGCAGCACTGCCATTGAGAAGCTGCGTGGGTAGGAGCTGAACACTGGGTTATCCAAGATAAATGAAAAAGCCCTGCCTGGTGGCACAGCAGGTTAAAGCACAGCACTAAGAAGCTAAGGCCACTTCAGCATGAGATGAGTGCCTCACAGGGAAGTGACCCACATGGCATAGCAGACCTCTCCTGACTTGCCCGCTGCTCCCCTCAGCAGTGTATTTTGTCAATTGCCTGTTCTGCCCCTCAGTCTATCTCTGGTGAATCCTCTCACCACCCCTGCACCTGTACCCAGTTCTGTAATGCATAAATAAACACATCTTAAAAAAAAAAATAAGCCCTTGTGAGGAAACCTCATCTGCTGTTCATGGAAATATAAATGTTTATAATCTTTAAAGGCAATTTAGCAATATCTCACCATCTATTACCAGTATTTGGAAAGAGCTTTAAATTGAGTGGAAGAGACAGAAATCTGATTGCAGAGATGTAAGAATTGAACTGACATGCTCAGGTACTTCAGAAAGTCAGCAACCTCAAAATTTATTATTGTTAACTCTCCTTATTTAGAACTTTCTGAATTGAAGTACTTTGAAAGCTTTAGTAAAAAAAATGAATTTGTGGCTTTAAGGAGTCTTATTAGCACATACGTTTGTGTGGCATTAAAATTAATTATAGAAGTAAGACCATATTGCTATTTAATGTTAGTTGTTTTAAACTTTGAATGCTTATTAATAAAAAAAATCCTTCTAGCAACATGCATCTGTGGGTAAAACATATTAAGATGTTTGTTTTTTAATAAATAAAGCAAAATATACTGTGCATTTTTATTATAGACCAGTTACCCCAAGAATTTCAGAGCTAATTCATTCGTCCATATGCTATATTCATCGATACACTCAAACTACATACTTCTATATTTTCTATTTTTCTCTTAAGTAAATACCTTAACAAAAATAACGTTATAGAGCCTTTCTGGTAGTGCATGGGTTAAAGTCTCAACAGTACCAAGCTATGACCACCCACTGAAGTGCATGAATTCATTTGCTTGCCTGAGAGCTGACCCAGATGGTGAAGCAGACCTATCCTGTGTTGCTGGCTGCTCCCCTAAACAGTGTATTTCAGTCAATCTGCCTGTTCTGGTCCCTACTCTGTCTCTGGTGAATGCTGTCAGCCTGCACTTCTGGTCTGTACCCCACTTCTTGTATTCATAAATATATAAAATAAATCCTTTAAAACAAAATAAGGTTAATGTGACTATGGAAAACTGTTTGGAGGTTCCTCAAACTGCTAAACATTGAGCTTCCCTACGACCCAGCAATCCCACTCCTAGGTATCTACCCAAAAGACACAAAAACACTGATTCAAAAATATAGCTGCACCCCCATGTGTATTGCTGCTTTATTCACAATTGGAAAGACATGGAAACAGCCCAACTGCCCAAAAATGGATGACCAGATTAAAAAGATGTGGTACATATACACAATGGAATATTACTCAGCAACCAAAAAAAAAGAAACACATGTCTTTTGCAGCAACTTGGATGGAGCTGGAAAAGATCGTGCTTAGTGAAATAGAACAGAAAGAAAAGGAAAAAATACTGCATGGTTTCTCTCATAGCAGGAATAATAGGCGAGAAAATAATGATAATGATGGGCAGCTATATACCAGAGACATTTTGTGGGGGTGGAGCAGGGAATGGGTTCAAAAACAGTGGGGGGAGGGAAATGCACTGGACTGTGGTGATGGGAAACCCAAGGGGGTTGCAACTGAGATGGAAAAATGCACAAAAATATGTAAAAATAAACTATTATAAAATAAAAATAAGGTTAGTGTGAAATGTATATTTTATACCATAATGGTCCTCAGGTATATACAGCACTTTTTGATGGAATCAAAACTGCCAAACTCAGGAACTCCTAAAATTTAAAGAGTAATGTCTCAGTTATAAGCAAAGCATTCTGCCCTGACTTCTAACTTCTAAGCTGGTAAAGTATATATATATATATATATATATATATATATATATATATATATGTAGTATAATTATGATAATAGTGAAATGTTATTGTGTGTAACACTGGCATTTTAAAAATTATTTTCAAGGAAAGAAAATTCCCCAGATTTGTAGCCAAAGAAATGGAGACAATGTACATAGAAGAGCTGCGTTCTTCAGTGAACCTGCTAATGGCCAATTTGGAAAGTCTTCCAGTTTCGAGAGGTGGTCCAGAATTTAAATTACAGAAATTAAAACGTTCACAGAATTCTGCATTTTTGGACATGGGAGATGAGAATGAGATTCAGCTGTCCAAGTCCGACGTGGTGCTGTCATTCACCCTCGAGGTAAGTGCATCTCCCAGCTGCTTTCCCGCAGCAGAAGGGTCTGCAGAATCTCTCCTGCTGACCTTCCTGGCAACTGATCAGCTGTAAGGCCGTGTAAAAGATTTTGAGGGAGTTAGATTTGTTCTACTATTGCTAGACAGCCAGACTGAATTCAAATCCATGCAGTTTTCCCTTTAAATATCACAGCAGTGTTAGGATTAAATAATAATATTATAATAATTTTGAGGCAGGTCGTCTTTATCTGCTAGGCTAGGCAAGTGTAATTTATGGCTAAGGCAAGCACCAAAATAACTTAGATGGAACAGGATTTAAATGTTTAATTAAATTCATTGAATTTTCTGAAGTTTGGGAATGACTTTCAGGCATTTCCTTATTAGCTTTTTTTCTTCATCTATTAATATGTCACCTATGAGATTATCTTTCTAGATAGAAAGAAATCACATAAAGCAGCTATAATGCAATGTTTTGTGTACCTATTGATGATAATTCTTCCTTCAAGTCTTACATTCTTGGGTACAGTAAATGTTTTATAAATGACAGGCTTTCAAAATTGTGTTGATCGAGACTGCAGACTTTGATGGTTTTTTAATAGACAACAACTAGATAGTTGTATTGACAAGTGACAGCCACCTGTTGATGCTTTTCACAGTTACATTTAGTGTCTGCTGATCTTAGTATAGGGGCACGCCAGGTGAGTAGCCACTGGCTACAACACACACAGACACTAATAGCATCAAACTTACGTTCACAGCTCCCTCAGCAATTGCATTAAAGCTTATCGCTCCATCTTTGTTTTGTTCTGTCTTGGTTCCATGCTGTCTGAGTTTGCTGGTTGAGAAAGAAAAGTACCTGGAGTCGTAGGTGTTTCAAAGTTTTTCATTTAAAATTGAAGTGCTAAATCCTTGTCCCTCTCCCCAACACCCCCCCCCCCGACCATTAAAGTTGTATATGAACAACATCAAGTATAACTTTTTTTTAATACATTTGGCATTTATATTCAATGCTAAAAGTAATTTGTAAGGCAAATGGTTTTTGTTACATATCCACCATTATCTTCTAACATTCCAAACAGAAACAGTTAAGACATTTTCTCTCTATTTAGCAGTCTTAAACAATTGTGATAATTAGCTTCTGACGAATGATGTTTTTCCCCTTTGAAAACAAAATTACACTTGTGAGTCACTGTTGAAGTGAAACTGTGAATTGCAATTCTGTACTTCATTAACAGGGCTGTTAACTATAAACGATGTTAGGTGGAGAGTGAGTTAAAACTTCATTTTGCAGGGTATGAGATGATCACGTTAGGAGATTGTTGATGTCCTCTCTAGCTGTGGCTATCTGAGACAGCTATTTTCCTGCCAAAGCAAACTGGGAATCTGTTCCTGGTATCTACATTATATAAAGTGGGAGTTATGTGTTCAGCGACAAAATAAAATCACATGAAGTGCAAACTCTACACACTTGTTTGTGTATAGGATGCTGAGAGAATAGACCAGATTCCCCTCTAGCACCAGGACCTGTGACCTTAGCCCAGAGACCTTAGTCCTAGCCTGTTCCTCAAGTCTTCTTCCTCTGAATGCAGCCTAAGAGCACTTCAGAAGGCAAGCACCAGGCCAATCCCAGGATCTTGGGATCCTCAGATTTGAGTTGGTCCAGTGAAGAAAGAAGTCTTGTCCAGTATCTGAAGTCTGCAATGATGGGAAGAGGACAAGCTTGGGAAGCTGGTCAAATTTTATCTTTCTGAAAATACTGCCTCTCCTCCCTTCTCCCACCAACCCTAGACCCTTCCCAAGCCCCCAGTTTGCACAGCCATTACCATCAAACATCTTATGCAGATCCTACCGTGTTTGCTATTAATTATTTGAATTTCTCTGCTTAGAATGGATGCTATAGGAAAATAAGCTTGTTTTGTTTTGTTTTGTTTTGTTTGTTTATTAAAGTATGAAAAGAGCCTTAAACAGTGCCTGGCATGCAGTTGACTCCATAAATATTTATTGAATTAGGGACTTTGATGGTATCAAAGGGAGCAGTTAGCCACACGAGGTCTCTTTAATTATGTCTGCTTCAGAGGGAATAATAAAGCAAAAGACAAACTAGTGCACAAAATGCTAAGTCATTTATGGCATTTGAAAATAAAAAAATTAAATTTAAAAAATCAACTAATTATAGCAACACTTGTTTCCCTGTGAAGTTAAGGGTGTGAGTGGGGAGGGTGATGGTGTCAGTGTCCTGGGCACAGTGGATTTGGATGCAGACTGGTCTCACTACTGAAAGTTGGCACCTCCCTGCCTGCCTCTGTGTCTGGTGTCTGTGTGCCCCCGCCCTTCACCACATGCCCAGCAAGGTTTTCTCACAACTGCATATTATGTATGCCAGCGCTCCTTAACTCTGTCAGCATTGAGGAGCATATTGTCTAGTTTCATGTTTTTTTTAAGAGTCCGCCCCTCTTTTTGCATCTAGAATAACTGTCCGTCTATCCTTATATTTCATCTGTCACAAGGAAATTTGGGAAAAGAAGACAAAGCAGGTCACTTTTCATTTTTGTAGTTTCCTGATCAGTTTTGCTGATGGTGGCAACAGCTAGAATTACAATAGTTGAAGGTCCACGGAATTCTTGGCTCTCCGTGGCTGAGACAAGCTGTGTTCGCTTTTCACTCCTTTCAGACATCTAGTCTGTAAACTGTTGTTCTGTTGCTATGTATGGATTCGCAACAGAAGTTGATCCATCTTTTGGAAGCAGTCGTAGTGCAGGATGAGACATTCCCTGCACAGATGGGAGCATTGTTTTGAGGAGCAGAGTGGGGTTTCACAACTTGCGTGTTCTCGGAGGGCCTGTTTACAGTAGCTTGCAGCAGAGGTGACAGAAATTGTGTCAAGCAGATGCTTCTTTTCTTCTCTTGCACGTTGGCTATGACACACGCCACAGGAGGAGGCAGAGTGCTGGAGCCGAGTTGCCTGTGTGGTCACTGTCTTGGCCTCCCCCATGCTACCCAGTCCTGTTGTCTCGTGCATGTTAAGTGACCTTCCAAAAACTTTATCACAGAATAAAGCCATTAATTAGAATCATGGTGGTGAGCTCCCGGGTAGCCGGCTTTTTATGGGTAGAGTGAAAGATTTCATTTTTCTCACACTCTGGTTACTTTTATTTGAAGAAGTTTCCAATCAAATTCAATATTACCTACAAACTTGATTCAACGTGTACAACTGCTTTTGTTTATTTTCCTTAAACAAGAGTTAGTGCTTCATGCCACCTTCCTCGAGTATTAGAGCAGCTGTGAAAGACACTATTGACATCACATTAATTTTCTTAGTCTGTTTTCAGTTAAATCTTGATTTTTCTTACTAAGGAGGTATGAATGACACTTTGAAAAGATGACAGGAAAATGGCTTTGAAGTCGACCTTAACTTTTTAGTGATTAATTGCCTAAATGTTTTTATGAAAAAATGAAGGCAACAACAGTGTGCATTTGTGTTTACAAACATAACCCTTGCATTGTGCAGTGCTGGAAGAATAATCCTATTTAAGTTGGTTTGTTTCTTTGAGACGTATAGTCTCAAGATTTATATCACAAGTCTATGAGAAAGTAGGAAGTTTAATGTATAAAATAAGTAATAAATGTAGAAGCTGTTTGGTGGGTATTTTATAACTACATAGCATGAATGTTATTAATCTTGTTTAATCAAAATCAGCATGAATCAAAGAAATGTACATATATAGGAAATATGCATATATAAAGTCCTATTGAATATGTGTGAGAAATTAAATTTTGTGAATTTAGGAGAACGTCTTGATGTAAACTTTTGGTAGTAAAAGACCAGCAAATAATATCCTTATTTTATGTGTGTTTCCAGTGAGAACGTTAGGTTAAGATATTATAGAATTTGCAGCCTTTTATATAAACATAAGAAACACAACTTTTTCCTTCCCCCCACAAGTTATAGATAAGCTAATAACAATCTATCTAGCCTCCCTGTGTACTGCCTTAAATTAGGACATGACTCAGTGGATAAGAAAGTTATCTTTTCAGCTAGTTACTCTCTTCAGTAGCAAGTTAAGGTTTTCCATAGTTGGTTTGGCAATAAGATCTACAATGGCCATAGTTACTTTATAGTGTTTTTTTTAAAATTCTATTTATACTAGATTAAAACTGTCACTAAGTTAAAATTGAATAGTTATATTTTCTCAAATTCTTTCATAAATACTCCTAAACAGCTAATCAAAATAAGGCAAGAGAAAGACAAATTATTTACATGTGGAATATCGAGAAACCAGACAGAGGATCAGCTAAAGCTAAACTAAGGAATAACCCTAGAAAGCTGACTATGGATCTGTGGCTCCCAGAAGTGGAGGCATGGGAGAGGGCTGCAGGGCAGGGTAGGCGAGATGCACAACAGACTGGTGTGGACTGTGGGTGTTGTGGGTGCGGCATGGTAACACCTGAAAGGGGAGAGCTGATCGATTTAAACCACAAATAGCAATGTCAACTGGAGTTACCTTAAAAAAAAAAAAAAAAGGTCAGGCCTCCCTGACAGTGTAAGGGGTTAAATCTCAGCACTATGAAACTACTTGTAGCCATTGTAGCTCAAGTTTGATCCCCGGCCAGGGAGCTGACCCACAAGGAGCAGCAGATCTCTCTTGTCCCAACCACTGCTCCCCACAGTGGTGTATTTCAGTCCATCTGCCTGTTCTGCTCCCCACGCTGCCTCTGGTGAATCTTCTTACCCTCTGCACTTCTGGCCCAGACCCCAGTTCTCACATGCATAAATAAATAAATCCTAAAAAAAAAAAAATAAAGTCATATAGGATGTAACTATAGAAAACTTTGGACAGTATCACATATTGATACCAATGAATTGGTTTGATGATGACAATATCACCCAGAAATGTTGCCACAGGACTTTATGTGGAACTCAGTGTACACTCCTTTTAGAGCACCCACTGGCTTTTCATTCGTAATCCTGCTTTATTTCATACAGACTTGCCGTAATTTACAGATCTAAATGTAAATGTCGCTTCATTTACTAGGGCTTATAGGTAGAGGCTTTCACCTTACTTTGAGAGCTGGCAGCAGACAGTGATACCAGACTTCCTCAAAATGTCATTTACTTTACCCTGCATGAAAAGTGGTGAATTACAAAGCAGGCAGATAATTTCATCCATTGGTCCTTACAGCTGCACTTGCTGCTTCTGTCGTTATACGTGGCTAAATGCTGTCAGCTTGACATGGCATTGTAAACTTTTTCTGTCTTTAGATTGTCATCATGGAAGTACAAGGTCTGAAATCAGTCGCTCCCAATCGAATTGTTTACTGTACAATGGAAGTAGAAGGAGGAGAAAAGCTGCAGACAGACCAGGCGGAAGCTTCAAGGCCACAGTAAGTCATTTGAACAAAAAAGCATTTTTATTTTCCTCACAAAGAAAAATGCTCTCTTCATAGGCAGCATGTTGTGTCCCGATTTCTGTGACCGGCTGCAAGGAAGAAAGACAGGAGGCAGAAAGGCTGAGCAAGTAGAGTTTATTGCTCCTGGGCAGCAGCTGTGGGGTCCGCAGCTACTGCCAATGCTATAGAGGGAAAGGTCTCTCATATAGATTCTAGGTTCAAATTCTAAAGGGGTGACTCATCCTGTGCCCCCTGATGTGAGGCCCAGTTCATTATAGCCCTTGTCTAGTCCCACCAGTATCTCCGGATGCGAGACCCAGTTAATTATCACCCTTGGATGCGAGGCCCAGTTGATTATCGCCCTAATCTAGTCCCCCTGGTAGTTGTTGTGTTACCGCCCCCCCTGGTCGCCCCCAACACAGCATTGTGTGAGCTTGCACTCTGAAATTGGTATTTGACTGGCATCGACTCAACCCTGGTAAAAGCAGTGTGTACTTTCTGGGTAAAAAAATGTTACCATTCGAAGTGAAGCAGGGTCCTGGTCTAGCGCCACCAAAACCCAGCAGGCTCATGTGACACTAATTATCAGACAGTAAAATCGTGGTCATTTATCAAGAAGCATGTGTTATCCCGGGTCATTGAAAAGGAGCATATGATGTGACTTTACTTCTTAGAACTGTGCTAAGGGCTTGTGCGCTGCTCTATGTTACTTCTCTGCTGGCAGTTAGGTAGATTCCGTGGATTCTGGTCTTAACTTTGAATCCTTATTGACCAGACTGGACCTTGAGCTCCAGGCAATGACTGTTGTGCAGAATCAGAGACGGTCAAGTGCTCTTCACGGGCAGTTTTATATCTCAGATTTGGGGAATAAGTTGAAGTTTGGAAGGTGTTTCCTTTAACAGATTCAAACTTGGGAACTGTCTTGTCTCCAGTAGGAACAAAACAGCCTGCCTGAGCATTCAAATAAAACTTGCCTGGTTGTCATTGGTATATTGCATTTGTGTGGGGCGGACAGCGGGGGGGGGGGGCAGGGGGGGGGGGGGGGCAGGCAGGAAGCCGAGCCGGAGGGCAGGGCAGCAGACACCCCAGGCCACAAGGCAGAGGGGTTGAGGTCACTCACTTCCTGTCTTCAGTTCTAAGTGTTACTTGGAAAGGTGTCTTAGGAAAGCAAAACAGGAACTTGTGGGAATCCTAAACTCAAGTCTTTCTCTAGACTTGGTATGAGCAGGGTTGTCGTGCTGTGGAAGAAGAGGCAGCATCTCAGAGTAGCAGTTTCTCCTCAGCCTTCCTGCTGCATCCTCATAACAAGGGCGGACCCACCTCATGTCTCGTATAAGGACCCTAGTCACGCCATGCAGCTCCATGAACACACCCAAGCCCGAAGATTCCCCCAACAGCCACACTCCCACATACCATCAGTTTAGGGATGAGGACTAAACGTGAATTTTGGGGAGGATACAACATCACCCCAGCAGAGTCCATGTGTCCTTGAAGGAGCATGCTGCCCTGGTCTTTGCTACAGGGTGTCTGAGAAAGGTTTATTCAGGTAGAACCGCTGTGGCGTAAAATTCTTCCATTGCAATGTTGGTGAGGTCTAGTGCATTCATACCAACTTGTGTCATGTCATCATAATTCGGTTTCAAAGCACATCACGTCCAAAAGTTGTCTCATATCCATTTGCAATTTATTCCTTTTCTCAGTACCAGGAAGCCATTCATGCTTTCTAATTCTATAATTTTTTTTCTGCATTTATGTCAATGAAATCATGGAGTTTTTAGTCTTTTGTACCTGCCTTTTTTCACTCACTATAATTTCTATCAGAACTTGTAATTGATACTTAAATATCTGGCTAGGCAAACTACAGTTCCTATGAAGTGTTAATAGTAACACTGACTTTTTTCTTACTAATAGTGTAACAGTGAAATTTTCATAGGGTGTTTCTTGCTTTATTTCTAACATACCTTAATGTATTCAGAAAGATTTTGATATTAAAAGACATGTTCATGAGCAATTAAATGATTTAAAATGCTTGGAAGGAAGAGAAAAACCATTAAGTAAGCCTCCAGTACTATTTTTCTTACTCTTTCTACAAGAAAATTTGGCTAACACAGCTTCTCCTGTTTCTTTGTAAGAAGCAAGTTGAATTTTAAAATGAATTAAGGTTTGCATGTATTGTATGCTGGGGCAGATTCCCTTAAAATTGGACCTCCTGAATGCTGGCCAACTGCAGCTTTTCAGCAGTGAGATTGCTTTTATTTCAGTCATCTTGCACCATAGGAAAGAGATTCATCTCCTCCAACATCATAGTGAATTATGCCTCAGACACGTTTGCTAAATTTTATTGCTTCAGCAGTTTGTGCTTTGTTGGAGATCAATTCATCCTTCTGTCTAATACTAATTAAAGTGCCTTATTTAGTCCATATTTCCAATCAGTTTAATCAAGATTTCTAGCCATTGCCTATTTCATTCCTGTAGTTAAGATGTCCTGCCAGCAATTAGGTGGAAGCCACATGTGAGGTTGGTTTGTCACTTAGAATTTCAAATCTGGAGCCTTCGGAGGTGGTGGTGGTGGATAAGTCTGGTTAGAAAGCATGGTAATGAGGTAATCTATGAAAGTGCGGTTTTTAATTTTTCTTTTTTTAATATAGAGAAGGGAGGGTGAACAAACTATATTTTTCATTGATGGCGAAAACTGTCTGTAGGTTTTCCTTGTCCACCTCTCAATGGCCCAGGAGAAGTTTTGTTCTCTCTGAATAGGTGTAGAAGCTCTGTGGCTGCTCTTTTACAGATTTTCACCATTTCCATACATCCCACTGTTTCAGAGTTAGCCCCTACCCTTAAGGACACCCCTAAAAGGAAATGCAGGGGTAGAAGGCAAAGTGACAAGCTGAGGGGGCGTTCAGTGTGGTCCAGGCACACAGTGATCTTTAAAGTACTTTCCATACAGATGGTGAGCAGGCTTTAAGTGCTTACACACCTGAGAACAAGGACCGAGGCTGGGAAATAAAAGCAAGGAGACTGATTGCTAAGAACAAACTAGGCCACCTCACCCCAATGAGAATGGCACATCTTCAAACAACTAGCAACAACAAATGTTGGTGAGGATGTGGAGAAAAAGGAACTCTCCTGCTCTGCTGGTGGGAATGCAAACTAGTACAACCACTATGGAAAACTGTTTGGAGATTCCTCAAACTGCTAAACATGGAGCTTCCATATGACCCAGCAATCCCACTCCTAGGTATCTACCCAAAAGACACAAAAACACTGATTGAAAAAGATACCTACATCCCCATTTATTGCTGCTTTATTTACAATTGGAAAAACATGGAACCAGCCCAAATGCCCAAAAGTAGATGACTAGATTAGAAAGATGTGGTACATATATACAATGGAATATTACTCAGCAACCAAAAAAGAGAAACACATGTCTTTTGCAGCAACTTGGATGGAGCTGGAAAAGATCATGCTTAGTGAGATAAGTCTGAAAGAGAAAGAAAAATACCAGATGGTTTCACTCATAGCAGGAGTATAATGGACCAGGCGAGAAAATAACGAGAATAATGAACAACCATATATACCAGAGACATTTTGTGGGGGTGGAGTGGGGAGTGGGATCAAAAATGGGAGGGTGGGATGGGAAGGAAAGTGCATGGGATTATGGTGAGGGCACACGGGTGACTTGGTGATGGGAAACCCGCGGGGATTGCAATTGAGATGGGGGGGAAAATGTACAAAATGATGTAAAAATAAACTGTTAAAAATAATAATAATAAAAAGAACAAACTAGGGGGGCTTCCTGATAGCACAGGAGTTAAAATTCTCAGTGCTGTCAGGCTGTCACCAGCCACTGCAGCATGGGTTTCATCCCCGGTAAGGGAGGTGACACACATGGCACAGCAGACCTCTCCTGTCTCACACGGTGCTCCCCTCAGAAGTGTGCTTCAGCAGATCTGCCTGTTCTGCTCCCCACGTTGTCTCTGGTGAATCTCCTCTCCCCCTGCATGTCTGACCTACCCCACAGTTCTTGGATGTGTAAGTCAATAAAAATCTTTAAAAAATAAAAGAACTAACCCGGGACTGTGGGCAGAGGGATGGGGGAGAGGGGAAGTGTCGCTAATCAGCAGTTGTAGTTTCACCTACACAGGATGAATGTCTAGAGCTCCATCTTTCATCCCTGTGCCTGCAGGTCACAGTGCTTCATTGTACACTTAAAATCTTATCAAATCTCATGTTAAACGCTCTTACCAACAAAAACATCTCAGTAACACAATGAGTACCACTTTTATGCCATGCCCTATGTAGCTCTTTTACCCATTGTTGTTTTTCAATTGGCAGGATCAGTTTCTCTGTGTTCCCCATTTCCTAGAATGTCATAAAATACAAAGACATGGAACAGTAAGAAACACTGATGACTTACATCATTAAAGAAAATGTATTTACCCATGTTAGGACAGAACAGCCTTCTACCTCATGAAAAGGATGTAAAGTATTTTAGTACTCATTTCAGGGAACTTTAGATTCTGAATCAGAAGTGTAATAAGCTGTTGAAGAATCGTGCCGCTACAGATGGAGAACTAATGTGAATGACAAGCTATTGAGACAATGGTTGAATACCAGCTGCCTGTCAGCCAACAGAAACCAACCATACTTCTTAAAAGCTTCGTAGTTTCGTTAATGTCAGAATTAGTTTTGAAGTTTAATTCATTAGCCAGCTACTCTTGCAGACTAGACACAGAATATACTTCATCTTTAAATGATGTATCCGAAAGTGTCGGTTTTTAATGAACCAAAGAGAAAACACTCAAACTTCACGAAAGTTTCATCTTTTCTCATTTCCATCTTTAAAAACATGAGATTGCTTTCTCTGTATATGTAAATCAATCATAAGGAACATTTTTCTAAGACAGAGGATACTGATGCAGAACAAAATGAAACAAATGGAAACCAAGGCAGAAATTACATTCATTGAGAATTTATGGCCAAATAAGGGAAAC